ACAGAGAGATGAGAGAGAGAGAGAGAGAGAGAGAGAGAGAAAATAAGTGAGAAGGTGTGAGTGAGGAAAGACGAGCGAACGTTATGAACGGCGATGAAAACAGATGAACGAATGGAAGAGGTCGATTTCCGTAAACATAACAACCATAAAAAAAACACGAAGGCAACAATATAGCGCTGTGTAAGATTCAACGAGTTTATATAATTCCTTTGTTTCAATTACGATATGTTCCTTCTAATGCTAGAAGGAAGGGGTTGATATAGATCAGTATGGTCGCTTACCGCCCTATGTACTACTAATATAACCGCTACACGTTCGTCGACGAAACGACCACCATCGGCGCATGCATTGCTGCTTACACCTCACGGAAACACGGACTCGGCGATAACCTCCGTATGGTGGGCGGTGATGTCTTTGTCTTTGTCTTGGTCGAATTTCACTCCAAGCTCGAGACGCGACTGATGGAGCAGCTTGGCGATCAGCTCCGTCTCTGAGTGTGGTACTCGGTTGCACTGCATTTTGCCTGCAAACACACGGTGAACAACGCGCGTCAGCTTTCCCTGTAGAACATCGTACTGGTGACGGGGGCCTTGCATTCATAGAGAGCCTTTACAGCAATAACATGTGACATCGGTATTCCAGCGATATCAATTTTATATTTATATCTTAGATGTCTATAAGCATGTATGTGTCGAATATATATATATATATATATATATATATATATATTATGCTTATATTTAGCGGGTGTTTCGCTTACACATTGAACAAACATGTTAATCAGTTAATAGCGATAAAGGTGGCCTGCATTAAAATGCGGCAAGAGCTAATAATACCAAATAATAGCTAATGATAGGTATTATTAACTCTTTAATGAGTGAAAAATAGCGTAGCTACGTGGCGTTTCACAGAATTTATCACAATGAGGATACCCTCTAGGAGACACTTCCGCACGGCTTGTGCCTCGTATGCTAATCCTGTCGCATTCATATAATTGGTTGTCTTAGTTGTTGCTGGTACTGGATGCTCCTCTATGCCGCTTGGAAGCTCAAGGTGTACGGGGGCATAGACAGGCCACAACTGAAATGTGAAAACATATCATCTGATATCGCTATTCACTCATTTAACAAATCGAATGCTCCAAGTACCAGTTAATATCTACGTGTAAAAATGTGTATCATCAATATCGGTAGGATTCTTAAGACTAATCCTCTTTCTATAATTCACTTGTGTTATTTGCGTAAGCAATTAAAATCGGGTAGTGAGAGGTATATGTATGAAATACCTTTATCTGGCCCTTTGTTCCGAAGATATGGGCTTCGTTCGGCAAGTCGGATTTGGTCGTCAGCAGCACACTGGCTATTCTGCTCTGAGGATAAAGCAACGTCAGAGACGCTGATTCATCCACGCCTAGCAAGCGTATGAGAATTAGCGTCGAAAGCATAATAGTAAGAATAAGATTACCAATTAAAATCGGACAAATCTAATTTAAAATATGTTTAATTGCATCATGCAGTCAAGAAAGAAACGGTGGCGGTGACAGTTGCATTGATATAAGCGGGAACATAACCAACCACTGGTTTTATGACCTCTGAAAATAAGATGTCAAGCCGATCATGTTGTGGTCACCCTATGTGTGGTCACGACTTTGTCGAATAACAAAATCCTAATAACATAACCTACATTTTAAGCAAATACCCAGTACCTTCTTCGCTGAGATGACCGGAACAGGTCATTTTGTCTGGCTTGCCTAGCACCCAGTTGGCGAACTGAATCGGGTATATTCCAAAATCATAGAGGCCGCCACCGCCGAACTTGCGGAATTTTGTGCGGTTGCGTTCGTGTACGGCGAAACCCATGGATACCTGGACACTCATGACGTCACCGATGGTTCCTTTCCTTATCTCTTCCTTGATGCGAGTATAAATAGGGAAAAATCGGCTCCATATTCCCTGAAAAACAACGGTCAAGTACAGTCGTGCTTTATCATGTGTAGATGAGTTAATACTGCTAGCGATACGAATGCGAAAATGAGAGACATCTACAAACACAGCTTATTCAGTTTTCACATACTAATCTTACAATTTAATAAATCTGTACACATCTAAGTCAGCTCTCACATTTAATCATTATCCTTTGTACATAGACTGTACACTATCTTATGCCACACATCATTTCATTCTCTTTTCTTTTTTTCTTCCTTTCTCTTCTAGCCTTTTCATCTCCCATCCTCTCCTACTCACACTCTAGCATCCTTTATATTACCCTGGCTCACACACACACACACACACACACACACACACACACACACACACACACGCGCGCGCGCGCACGCACGCACGCACGCACGCACGCACGCACGCACGCACGCACACACGCACACACACGCACATGCACACACACGACGCACACACACACACACACACACACACACACACACGCGCGCGCACGCACGCACGCACGCACGCACGCACGCACGCACGCACGCACAC